TGAGCCGGTACATGCGTTGATCGTGCGGTAGTTGCTTGAAGCCGATGCGGATGAGGCGAGTGTGCAGGTACTGTTGCCACAGTCGCGGAGCCTGCTTGATGCCGTAGAGTGACTTGAGTAGCTGGCAGACTTGGTTGGGTTCTCTGTGGGAGCCGTGCGGTAGCTCGACGAAAATTTCTGCATCAACAGGTGCGTAGAGAAACGCGTTCGCGACGTCAATTTGTCGCAGCTTCTTCTTCTTCATGGCGGCGATTGCGAGGAGAATGCGTAGTGAGGTGTGGCGGCTAACCGGAGCGAAAGTTTCGGTGAAGTCGCGTCCGTGTTCTTGGTCGAAGCCGCGTACAACCCAGCGAGCCTTAAATTTGTCAATGGTGCCGTCAGCCTTTGTCTTCACACGGAAGACCCACTTCCCGGTGAGCACTGTCTTGTTCCGTGCCACGCCGATAGGAACCACTTTCCACGTGTTGCGTTCCTCCAGTGCCTTCAGCTCCTTGTCCATGGCTTCGCGCCATTTTCCTTATGCTCCCCCCCCAGAGCTTGTTGAACCGTCGCAGGCTCTTTAGGAATGGCGGTGCCGTGGACTGCGGTGACGAGTCCGAGAATTTGCAGTCCACTCTGTGAGTAGCGGGGAAGATTTGCGTCCTCGGGATAAGCTGCTTCATCTCCCGCTTCTGGATCAGGTATGAAGTTCGGTCCTACTCGTTCTGCTTCGTTGGTGTTGACTGTCGCAGGTGTTACGTAACCGTTGTCGGCGAAATGGTAGAAGGTTTCGGCGTTGACACTTTCGCGAGGGTTATCTTCGTCCATGGGAACGTCCACGGAGCAGGACGGAAGAGGTCCGGCTTCTTCTGATGCGTTGTCCACATTCTGCTCGTCCCAGTCAGCTTCGTCCGTTGCTGAGGCGAAGGCTCGGTCACCGCGAAAACCACCTGTGGGATCCTGCTCTTCTTGCAGGTTAGCAAGGTATGTCTGGAGCGTGAGTCGTTCGTAGAAAATTACATCACGTGCTGCTACTGTTTCCTTGGAATGGACGTCGAAGATTTTCCACGCGTTGTAGTTCTTTTCGATTCCCAGGTGTAGTCCCCACTGTGCTCGTTGAGAAAATCGGCCCGCTCGTGCTGCTGGGGTTCGGTACTGTACCATGCATCCGAATACTCGTAACATTTTTGTGCTGCCCTGTTTTCCTGTCCATAGCAGATGCGGTGATGCGTTGTTTGGAAGCGATGATGACGAGAGCAAGTTGTGCAGCATGACGGCGTGATCCATTGCCGCAGGCCACTGGTGGTTGGGTAGCTGCATGCCACGTAACAGTTTGCGCATGCTGTTCTGCAAGGTCCTGTTCATTCTTTCTGCTACACCTTGCTGCTGATGGGCGTGGGGAAGGGAGACGAGCCGCTTGATTCCCCTTTCCTCCAGGTACTGCTTGAATCGCTGAGAGGTGTATTCTCCTCCTCCGTCTGACTGGAAGCTTTTCAGTTTCACGCCCGATTCTCTCTCTGCTACTGGTAGCCAGGCAACGAAGGCTGCGAATGCCATGTCGCGGCTAGGGAGGTTTAGGTGCCAGACGTAACGGGTGGCGGCGTCGATGAAGGTGATTGTATAGTTGTATATTGCTTGTCCTGGTTCCTGATTGTACAGGATGTCGCTATACACCTTCTCGAGTGGTGCGTACGCGGGTGCGCTCGGGTTGTGATGAGACGCAAACGGTCGATGTGGTAAGTCACCTTCAGGGCAGGTGAAGCACGTTCCGCGTACTCGTTGAAGTTCTCGTTCGTCGGTCAGTAGGAGTGAGTCCTTGTCGAGTACTCCTGCTCTTATCGTATTGTTTAATACTGTGTTGCTTGGGTGTCCCATCCTTGCGTGCCAGGTGTTTTCGTCGGCGCGATGTCCGGGTGATCGTCGGTACATATCGGAGTTGGAGTAGAAGTTGGCGGTGAAGTTGGCGCTACGATGAACTTCTTGTGGTGCTGGGTGTAGTTGTTGCGCGGGTGTCGGTGGTGTGTCGTCGATGAGGAGCGGTGTCGTTAAAGGACCAGCAATTGGTGTTGACGTTCCTGCTGCTGCCGTTAATGGTTCTGCTACTGCCGATGTTGTCTCTGCTGCTGCCGATGTTGTCTCTGCTGCTGCCGATGTTGTCTCTGCTGCTGCCGATGTTGTCTCTGCTGCTGTTGATGTTGTCTGAATTGTTGCTAACGCCCTTGTTCTTTCTGCTTCAGGGATGGTGTGTGAGTACCAGAAGCCTTCTGGACTGAAGTCTGGATCAAGGTCTGGAGGGTGTGTCCAGTTGGTGAAGTTAACGATGGCGTCGCTGTCGGCGGTGCCAAGATCAGGAACGAAATCAAGAACGAAGACGTTGTTCTTGAGGACCGCCTTGCCGATGTAAAGTCCTCTTCTCCCATGATACAGCTTGAATTCTTGGGTGGTGCTGTCTGCTTCGAGGTGAATCCCTTTCGCCATTAGCTGACTGACGCTCAGTAAGTTGTAGCAGAGTCCCTCTGTGATTAGTACTTTTGACATCTGCAGTATAACGTTTGTTTCCCTTGACTGAAGTTGAACTACGCCTTGTCGTCGTGTTCGCAGGTTCTGATTGTTGGCGACTGTAATGACAACTTCGCGTTGAAGTTGGTGTTCTCGTTGAACGAAGCATCCCGAGGAGCACATGTGCTGTCCGCAGCAACTGTCCAAGAACCATGTGTCTTTTCCGGATGGTTCGCTTTGGGCGATGGCGGCGTATGTCGGGTTCGGCTGAAGTGACTCGCGGCGAGGTGTGGTTTCGTCGAGTTGTTCTTCCGGTGAGTAGTGTGGTGGTGACTCGGTGATGCAGGAGTCACTCAGCTTTGCCATGCAGCTGACGATGTTTCTTGCTCCTTGTGCAGGTTGTCCCGTTGAAGTCGTTGAGGCTTGAATCTGGGTCGTGGGATTTGCTTGCGTTGAGGCGATTTGGCTGCTTGAAGGTCGAAGTTGCCGCTGTGGGGTTGTTGACTGTTGACGATCTGGGCAGTGCGTACGCGGGTGTCCTGAAGTTTTGCAGATGTGGCAGAACGGAGGTACTGGCTTCGGTTGTTGCTGCCGGTTGTTGTTGTTGTTGTAGCGTCGCTGAGTGTGGAACGCGAATTCCGGTGCTGATGTCTTCTTTTTGTGTCGTTCTTCTTGCAGGTCCATGTCTTGCTGCTCGGCGTGGATTTCGGCGCAGAGCGCTGCTTCGGAGATTCTTCCGTGAGCTCGGAGAATGGCCTTTGTGGCGCGCCATTGAGGACCGAGACCGCCGATGATGACTGTTACGAAGGCGTCTTCAGAGATCGACCCTCCGCATCGAAGAAGCTTGTCGCGCAACTCGCGACATCGACTGATATACGCCATTCCTTTCTCCCCTGGTTTCATTTCAACCGTTGTCAGTTGCGCCATTAACCGACTTTGGCTTACGCTGTCTGTTGCTTGATACAGGCTCTTCAGGTGGTTGTACGCGAGCTCCGCGGAGTTGCCGTAACCTCGGTAAGACCTTATGTTCTGCTGTTGAGTCGGGGTGATATTCCTCAGTAGGATCGTGTACGCCATCATTGACTGATAGGTGTACTGCTGCTTCTCGTACTGTGTGCCGTTTGTTGGGTATGGCAGAGACCCGTCGAAGAACCCGAGTATCTGCGCGCCTTCCATCATCAGCTCGAACTCGAACGACCAGGTGAAGAAGTCCTTTCCATCGAAAGGTCTTGACGTCTGCATCTTCAGAACGTGTGCGAACTGCGACTGGACTTGTAATGCGTCCAGTGATTTTTCTTGTCCAGGTGAAGGCTGTGGGTGTGGCATAAAGCTGATGGACCCGCGCTCGTACGGAGCAAAGGTAGGCTGCTGTTGTTGATTTCCTCGTGCATATGATGAGTCGTCGAGACTCATGGGTGTTGCTCCGTTGTTGTTGCTGTTGTGTGACTGCGCAGGTGCCGATTGTTGGTGTTGCTCGTAGAAGGACATGAAGGAGAAAAACTTCTCCATCATGCTCTGGTCGAAGTCTGCAGGTTGATTCACGGGAGTCTCAGTAGATGTTGCTCTGGGTCTTGTTGCTGTGCCCTCCTCTGTCTGTAGGCCAGAGGCAGGAGGTGGAGTAGGAGTAGTGCCCTGGGAGCCGTTGGAGTTGCTCCTTTCCTTTTGTGTAGCCATGCTTGTTGATGTTGTCGGTATAGAAGTTGAATTCCCCCTGATAGCTCTCATATCATGTTGGGCTGAAAAGCCCCTTAGGATCTTTGCAGGGGTGAACTCTGGGTAGAGTTGGTGTAGTAGCGGAAGCGTTAATTAAAGAGTTGTGAACCACCTTGCACTAGTATGTGAGGGCAAAGTAAGTTAATGATAATAAAAGAGATACAAGCTTTTATAAGAATACAAAGGAATATGAAGAGATACAGTTAACTGTTTTACTGTTGCTGTTGCGGTTCGATACAGTGTCGACTCGGGCAACTGCTCAGTATCGAGACAGTTGGTTGTCCTTGCTGTCGCGCTGCATTTGTCAGGTCAAAGGTCGCTGACCTTTGACTTTCGCATAACCTCCAACAGTTATTCAACCTCCGAGGGTTGACTCATCGATATTTCGATACGAGCTACTTCGCTTCTGTCTTGGTGTTTCGACACGACAGAGGCGCCTAAATCAGTTGTTTCCAACAATGTTGTTGCTTCTCTCGATTGGTCTTGTGACCCTTTGTTTCGCTTGTTTGTTTTGATGCCCCTCACTTAGCCTATGAGGGTGTGTCAAATAACATTTATATGTTTTGTTAGTTTGCTAGGCTATAGTGAGTTGCCTAGTATAGGGTACACAAATTCCCTCGACATTCCTACTTGTACCTCTTGCCCTACTAGTCGACCAACTTATTCCGCTAGTACTTTAAGAAAAGCACCGTCACAGTGCAGGAATATACAGCTCATCCACAAGCTTCATAAGGATTTTTCATCCCTGGTTGGAAACCTAGTGGTATTCTTGACACAATTAGAAAGTCTTAACCATATGTCGAGTAGTTTTATTGGCGAGAAAATTCCACCGTGATTTGATGCCCTGCTAGCAAGGACCTGGAGACGGCAAAAAGGTGGGGGCAGGAGGGGCAAAGGGAAGTGGGAGGGTGAACCATGTGCATCGCGTCACGTGTGTAACAGCCTTTGCAACCCCTCACAATACGTACATTTAAACACTGTACCCATCACGTACCGATGCATCATGCGCTTGGCAACAGTGGCTGTGCGGACAGAGTCAAATGTGAGGAGGAAGGTTCCACTTGAAAGACCCACATGCTGCCAAACGGGCAAGATTCGTGGGGGGAGGTTGGGGGAGAGGGTGCTGGAAATATAAATATTGTATTTAGCTCTGCAGTTCACATGAGGTGAGACAGGAGAGGGCAGGGAGGAGGGGAGAGGGGGGGAGGCGGGGGGAGAGGGGGGGGTGGAGGGGGAAGGGGAAAACGGGAGGCAGGGGGGCGGACGTAGGAAGCGAGGGATGGAGGGGAGAAGGAGGGGAGAGTGATAGGGAATACCAGAAAACAACAATTGCCCGGTGTCAACATACAAGGGCATGGGCGGATACAAGAAGGGAGTGGGGCAAGACGGGACTCACCCCAACCCTGCTGACTTTGCTGAAAGCGGTGATGATGGTTTGCACAGGGGTGGTTGCAGGAAGGCCCCCCACACGTAGCACTCTGAGGGTAAGACACAGGCGCAAGGAGGAACGAGAAGGGAGAGGAGAGGTAGTGAGAACGAGGTATTCTTTGCCCAAGGCACTGATGATTGTTTGCACAGGGGTGGTAGCGGGAAGGTCCCGCACCTGCAGCATTCTGAGTGTAAGACACAGACAGACGGTGGAACAGGAAGGGAGAGGAGGAGGGGGGAGTAGAGAAGTGGAATTCTTTGCTGGAGGCACCAGATGATGTTTTGCCCCGCAATGGTGAAGGGAAACGACTCCCCACTCGTAGCACTAGTGCAAAAACAAAGGGGATAGGTTGTGCGCGAGACGAAAGCGGAAGTGGTAAGGAAGGGGGGAGGTGGGGGGGGGAAGGGGGAACGAAACGGACCATTTCGGACCATTTGTAAGCGATGCTGTGCACTCACTGGGATTTGAGTTGTGATGAGGATAGGTCCACCACAGAAGTGGGACCCCCATTAGCCGCACCATGCGCACCAGCACTGTTTGCACCTGTGCTATTGACTCCCGGACCGGATCCCATGGTGCTTCTCCCACTCGCCACTCCAGCTGCAGTGCTGGCTGCAACCTTCACGCCACCATTCCGATTTGCTCCTGTCCCTCTACCAGCAGCAACAGAAGCAGCAGCAGCAGGAGCAGAGGATGAAGCAGCAGCAGGAGCAGCAGCAGGAGAAGCAGCGGGAGAAGCGGCGGGAGCAGCAGTGCTGGTGTAGCCATCTCGTTTCAGACGAAATCGCCCCCCCTCCATCCCACGACCCGCTGCCCCTGCAGTTGCTGCTGCTGCTGCTGCAGATGCAGGTGGGGTTGCAGGTGCATGAACCCCTGCTGCCTCTGCTGCTTTCGCTCTTCCAGACCCCACCCCAGGTGCGGAAACCTCTGCTACCTCTGCTTCCCCTCTTACTGCTGCTGCAGGCCCCCTGCTTGGTGCTGCTGCTGCTCCTTCTCCTCCCGCTGCTGCTGCTCCCCCTGCCGCTGCTCCCCCTGCCGCTGCTCCCCCTGCCGCAGGAGCTGCTGCCACGGATCGCTCCTCTCTGCCACGGATCGCTCCACTCACCATCCCCTCCCCTGCTTTCGCCTCAACATACCCCCCTCTTCGCTCCCCCGTTCTCCCCGCTGTTTGCCCCGCAGCTTGACCCACTGCTCTTGCCTCTGTTTGCCCCACTGTTTGCCCCACCCTTTCTTCCCCTCTTTGCCCCGCTGCTTGCCCCCCTGATTCACCATGAGGCAACTGACCGACTCCACCTCCCATGCCTCTGCCTCTTCCTCTGCCTTGCACGGTTTGCTGCAATGATTCTTCTACACCCCTTCCCATCGCCCTTATCACCTGCCTTCTGTGGGGCGTGGAAGCAGCAGCATCAGCAGGAGCAGAGGAAGCAGGAGCAGGAGCAGGAGGGGCAGGAGCAGGGGGGGGAGCAGGAGGAGGAGCAGCAGGTGGCACAGGAGAAGGACCAGCAGGAGCAGGAGCAGGGGCAGGAGCGGGAGGAACAGCAGGTGGAGGAAGCAGAGGACGACTAGCACCAGCACCATCAGCACCACCGGCACCGGCATGAGCACCAGAAGCAACATCAGGAGCCGAAGGTCTCTTCACTTGATTCTGCTGCAGTTGCAGCTGAAGCTGCTGCCTCAGCTGCATTTCCTTCTGTCGCTGCTGCTGCTCCCACTGCTCCTGCACCCCATCTCTCTCCACCTTTTCCAACTCCCTGTCATCCCGCAACGATTTATGCATTTTCCTATCCCCCTCTATTTCTCTCCTTCCATCCCTATCTCTACCCCTCTCCCGATCCCTCTCCCTCTCCCGATCCCTCCTGTCATTCTCTCTGGCTAATGGCCTTTCCCTCAATCCCACATCCCTTTCCCCCCAAGCAGACAAAATCCCCCGCTCCTCTTTCCCCAGTGGACGATACACATCTCCTCCGCTTCCCCCATATTCCCCTCCTCTATCCCTGTAGTCCCCTCCTCTTTCCCCCACTTCCCCTCCTCTCCCAAGCACATCCCTTCCTCTCCCCCCAAATTCTCCTCTTCTTTCCACACATCCTCTTCCTTCTCCCCTCACTTCCCCTCTCCTCCCTCCCATCTCCCCTCCCCTGCCCTCTCCTCTCCCCCTTCCGCCCTCCCCCATCCACTCCCCTCGCCCACCCCTCCCATCCAACACCCCCCTCTGCACCACTCCCCCCACGTCCCTCCCTGGAACGTCAACACCAGTACCCCAACCTAATGTCTTCTCCCGATGCAAGCTTAGGTTTCGGGACATCTCAGTTACCCGCTGCGCCAAGTCATGATGGTGATGCAGGCTCAGTGGGGTCTCTACACAACGCCGTGGGGATGTGGGATTACGGTGCAAGGCGTCTCGTTGCAAGCTTAGGTTTAAACTTCGAGGCGTCTCAAGCTTAGCCCGCGACGGCAAGTCATGATGATGATGATGAAGCAGCAGGCTCGGTGGGGTCTCTTCGATCGGCCGTGGCGACAAGTCATGTTGCGTGCTCAAGCTTCGGGGCATGTCAAACTTGACGTCAAACTTGGCCCGCGGAGCCACCACGTCACGATCACGCATGCTCCGCGGCGGGTCATCGAAGCTTGGGCGTGGAAGCGGCATGTCATGGTGGTGCAAGCTCTCACGATGATGCAAGGAGTCTCGCTGCAGGCTTAAACTTCGGGACATTTCGAACTTAGCCCCCGGAGCCACATCGTAGTGATGCGAGCTCAGCGGCCGGTCGAAACTCGGTCGGGGAGACATGTCATGGAGCAAGGCGGGTGGGGATCGTACTCGCACCACTGGCGTTGCAGCAGAGGCAGGGAGGGAGACACGGAGAGGAACGGCAGGTGGTGGGTTCAGGAACCAACCTTCTGGGTTGCTTCCTGGAGTACCTGGGGCAGAAGGGAGTGCGTGGATTGCCGGATGAGCTTGGGAAGGCGGGGTAACCGGTTTGGATTGGTTGGCTGGGTTAGTTAGGGTAGTGGATGGGTGGAATCCGGTGGAGTGAGCTGTGCTGGATGGACGTACACCAGCCATGATAGCCGCGTTTGCATTTCCTCCGCCCAACACGCCCTCCCACTGCTGCTGCTGCTGCTGCAAGGGCCTTTGTTGCTGTTGGTGCAGATTCCGTAGCTGCTGCTCCTGCTCCAGCTGCCTTTGCTGCTGCTGCTGCTGCTGCTGCTGCTGCTGCTGCTGATGCTGCACCTCCCTTTGATGCTGCATGTGCATGAACTGGGCTACTTGATCCTTCTGCATCTGCTGCTGCTGCATAAACTGCCGCTGTGCATCCAAGGGACCATGCACTTGTTGCTGCTGCTGCTGAACTGCCCTGTGTTGCTGTTGCAGATTCCGCTGCAATTGCTCCTGCTCCTGCTGTTTTAGCTGCTGCTGCTGCTGCTGCTGCTCATGCACCTGCCTCTGCCGCTCTTGCTGCTGCACCTGCTGCTGCAAGTGGTTACCAGATGCTGTAGAACCTAAACTTATAGGAACGGCTGTGAAACCTCCTCCTGAAATAAGGGTAGAGGCAAGGTAGGTACCCAGAGGGTTCAAAGGGGGAAACGGGAGAAGGGTGAAGGAAAAATGAGGGGGAAACCTGAGAGGAGAAAAGGTGAAACAGGGGAACATGAAAGGAGAGAGGACTGAGGGGGACCCATACCACAAACTCCCACCAGACTCACAAAACTCATATGCTCACCTAATAACGCTCTTTCTCCTCCCCCTCCTCGTCCTCCTCCTAGCTCTCCTCCCCCTCGATCCGTCCCCACTGTTCCCCCCCCTCTTAACGCAGCTGCTGCAGCAGCAGCAGAGGCAGCAGCACGAGAGGGGTGGGCCGGGGAGGGGGATAGGTGGAGGGGGAGAAGCGGCGGGTGCATGGGGACAGGGTAAGAGCCTGGAAAGGCATGGGGCGGAAGGCGGTCGGGTGGTTCTAGGGCGTGCAGTGGGGGACGCTGCTGGGAGGAACGGTGGGGGAAATGGTGGAAGAGAGAGGGGGGGAAGAGGGGGGAAAAGGGTGCAAGGAGGTGCGACGAGGTGAGAGGAGGTGAGAGTGGGAAGACAGGAAGTTGCAAGGAGGTACAAGTGTGGTGCACATAGATACAAGCCTGATCAAGAGAGACAGAGCAAAGATGATTCTAAGTACACTCAGGAACCAGCAGGGGCAAACGTGACGCGTACACTTATGAACAAAAGTGTGTTTTGAGTCAACTCAAAACGTGAAGCGTACACACCTGATTTAAACCCAACCGGTCAGAACCCTGCACCTAAAGAACAACGTCAGGAGGGTCTTCTTGACTCATCTTAGGAGGGGCTTCACGCATTGCTGCCCTTTTAAAATGAGTCAGGACTACACACCTGATTTAGAATCAAAGGGCCGGAACCTCGCATCAGAAGAACAACGTCAGGAGGAGGTATGTGCTGCCGCTGCTGCTGTTGCTGCTGATGCTGCTGTTGCTGTTGCTGCTGCTGTTGCTGCTGCTGCTGTTTCTGTTGCTGCTGCTGCTGCTGCTGTTTCTGTTGCTGCTGCTGCTGCTGCTTCTGTTGCTGCTGCTGCTGCTGCTGCTGTTGCTGTGCCATGCTTGTTCTGGGAGGAGGAAACCCCTGTCCTGTTGTTGCTGCCGCTGCCGCCGCTGCCGCCACTGCCGCCACTGCTGCCACCGCTTGCGCTTGTGCATGCACATGTGCGCGAGTGTGCACATGTGCGTGCCCGTGCGCGTGTGAAGAGAAGTGAATTCCATGAATGGGGGGGCGCAAGGCACTGGCAGGATCATTGGCACCAACGGGAGGTATAGGCCCAGCCAGGTTCACCATACCACCAGTGGGACGCATGGCAGCACCAGCAGCAGCATGCATGCTACTGGGATGCATGATAAAATGCACCCCGGAGTGCATGGCCCCATGCGTTCCCTGCAACCCTCCATGCACCTTATTAAGCTCATCAAACGGCATCACAACACCCCCACCACCTCCACCACCAGCACCACCACCGCCACCACGCAAAGCACCCGCTTGCTGCTGTACGGAACGCATAGGGTTCTGGGAGAAAGGCGTTGGGGCGTTGTTGTATGGCAAACCATTGGGTTGGAGAGGCAGGGAGCGGTGATCCAAGGGGTGGTGAGTGGTAAGACGGAGTGCCGCTGCTGCTGCTGCTGCTGAGGCGCCAATAGGGGCAGAGGAAGAAACCCGGGGAGGGAGGAGATGAAACTGCTGCTGCTGCTGCTGCTGCTGCTGCTGAAGCTGCTGATGCTGCTGCTGCTGCTGTAAGTGCTGCTGCTGGAGGGAAGGAGCGGATAGGCGGGTTGAGTGGAGGGGCCAGGGAGGTGGGCCTGTGGGGAGCAAGGGATTGGGGGACCCCGAATGCCCACGCAGGAGGGGGAGAGACCTGCAAGAGGCAAAGGGGACAAGAAAAACAATTCCTCAAGCGGATCAGAGACCGTGGGGCTGGTGTGGGGGTTGCATGGGATGGAGAGAAACAGAGCGCACAGGCGACAATCTCCCTTCAGTGGGTGGTGGCACAAGGGCAGTAGCACACAAGCAGCAGCACTCACCGTTCAGCCTCCAGCCTCCTCCGTTTCTCCCCACCGGTTTCCGCTCCCCTCCCATCTCTCCCCTTCTCCCCTACCCTCTGCTGCTGCTGCTGCTGCTGCTGCTCCCCCTCTTCTAACCTCCCTTGCTCCTCCATCTCCCCATCCTCCATGTCCCTCCGCTTCCCCTTTTCCCTCTCTTTCTCCCTCTCCCTCTCCTTCTCCTTCTCCCTCTCCCTCGCTTTTTCCCTCTCCCTCTCCAACTCCCACTCCCTTCCCCTTTCTCTCCCCCCCCTGCCCCCCATCTCCCTCTCCCTTTCTCTCTCCCTCTCGGGCCCATCAATAAACCTCTCTTGCCGACTCTCCCGCCGCCTGTTACTGGACCTCCAATGCTCTCTCCCCTCATCCTCTTCCTCTTCCCCCTCCTCCTCCTCCCCCTCCTCCTCCTCCTCTGCTTCCAGCACCAAATCTCCCTGATCCTCTTCGTGTGTGTCAGCCGTTGCCCCTTTAACGCCGGTCCTATCCTGCTGCCATCCAAGCCAACCCCAGCCCTCGCAAGGAGATAACACTGAGCAGAAGAAACTCACCAGCCAGCTTCCCAGCCAACCTAAGAGCGATAAAAAGGCAGGGTTTATAACAGAACAAGGTGTAATGCTCGGCGGGCTACTGCAATGGGGCACAGAACAAGGAGTGCTGAAAAACTCGTGAGAGCCAGGGGGGTATACATGCGAGAGGAGACAGGCACTAACAGAATAAGGGAATTTTGGACGCAGAATGAGTGCCGTTTGGGCAGGACGCGATAATACTAGATGGGGTGAGATGAAATGGTGCGAGTGTGGAACGGTGCAAAGTGGCATGAACGGCGGAATGTGGCATGGTAGAATGAATAATGGTGACTGGGATGGTAGAGTGTGGAATCAGGAAAATGTGAAATGGAAGAGAGTAGCATGGTAGATTGTAGGTGGGATATTGTGTGAAGCCCAGCCTGGGCAATATCCAGGAACATCCTGGAAAGGTCCTGGAAAGGTCCTGCAAAGATCCTGGAAAGATCCTGGAAAGGTCCTGGAATACCCAAGGACGAGCTATCAGCTGCAGCCGATGCCATGCAAGATCCAGAAAGTCTGCCTACCCATCTCCCTCCTCCTTGCCATGCTACCCTTCCTGTGCACTCGCCTCTCTCTCACACACCCACTCTCTCTTCTCTATATGCCCCACCCGCTCTCTCTCACTCTCTTCTTCCCTCCTTGCTCCCTCACACGCGCACAACCTCGCGCTCTCCCTATTCCGTTACACGCCACCCCTCCAAGCCACATGCTGTGTCTCCCTCTGCCTGCTGCCCTTACTTCTTCCCTCCATCCCACCTTCACACACACACACACACACACCCAACAACGTTGCATCAACACCGCTGCGTCCCCCACCCAACATCTGAATTCCAAACCATCCAAGCCACACACCCCTCCCAGCACTCCACCACGATCCGACTTCCCATGTCTCATCACCCGACCAAACGCGTAGCCACCGACTCATATGCCTGAACCCCAACTCGTCCAACCCACAATAACCTGTCCCTTCTCCCTATTCTTCCTCTTCTTCCTCGTTCCCGCATCACCAACAATCACCTTCCAGTTTCTCCACAAGTTTCCCATCACGCTTCTCCCGCCCCCTCCTCCCCACGCTCCCATATCCCCATCTCCCTCCATTTTATTGGTAACGTTGCACTATCTCCCTCTCCCCCTTTAACTCCCCCCTTCCCCCCATCATCCTCACGCCCTATAACTATCGTTTCGCTCACACACTCGAAGCTAGTGGGAATCGGGCACTTCTTTGGGGAAAGAAAAGGCATGGAAATATATAATCGGCATGGCTTCGCTTCTTCTGTCAAGCTCGGTTTCCCGTCAAGCACTCTGTCAAGCCGTTGCGTCCGTTAATAAGGCGCCTAATCGAATCCATTTTCTTCTGTGAGTAATCCGTTGAAGCCTTGCCAAGCAATCCCGTCACTTGGGGTGTTACGCTTCGTCTCTCGCTTTAACACGGGATAACACCAGACTGTGTCGAAACGAACGCTATAGCGAGTCAGGATAAACGGCATGCTGGGCGGAAAGAGCGAAAACGTGCTGGAAAGAAACATCGCGCTGGCTTGTTCTGAGACCAACGCGGCACTGTTTCCGGAGGAAAACTCCCAAAACTGTGTAACGCGATGCAATATTAGGTTTACCCCCCTAGAACGATGCCCTACGCGGGAACGGCCGAGCGGTATCTGTGCGATCGACAGTACGGTTAGGGCCGGTGTGAATGGTATCGATGGAGAAAGGTTGGAGGAAGATGCGAGTCTATTTCGACTAAAAAATACGATATCTGTGCGATTGACAGTAAGATAAGGGTCGGCGTGAATGGTATCGATGGAGAAAGGCTGGAGGATGATGCGACCTAAGTGAGTGAGGCGGATGGGCTTCCAGGTTAATCACCATGTCTGCAGCAGCGCCTCGATCAGCGCCGAGATCGACGGCGGAATCAGCGGGATCGTGAAGTTCACCGTCCTCCCAGTCCCCTGACCGCTCCTGAACCTTGCCGTGTCCAACAGCAGAGACAGAAGCACCAGCAGCAGCAGCAGCAGCAGCAGCAGCAGTTTTCCTAGCTTCCGCAGCCGTCGGGTGTCTGCCTGAACCTTTCCTCAATTCGGAGATTTCACCAGAACGAACCCCCGGCTTTTCGCGTGGCTGCAACGGCTCCGGACCACGACTCTGTTGCGCCGAACTTTCCGTTTCCGTTTGCGTATTCGTCAACTCCGGCCTTCCTGACGCATCCGCTTCCCGCTGCTCTGACGAAACCGCAAGATTAGTTCTCGAAACCGTCGAATCCTTGAGAATTTCCGAATCAGCCGTCGCCTTTCCCCTGACAGTCGTGACCGGATTAACATCGCTGCCAGCCGGTTTCGATGTAGCTGCAAATCCTGCGGCTCTTCCCTCTCTCTCCCCCTCCTCCTCCGCTTTTTCCTGCCCCTCCGAATCCTCAGAATCAAGCTCGTAGTCCGAAGCGTCAAAATCCACCATCTCCTGATCGTCCAATCCGAATTCGTCCTCCTCCGCCATTTCTGCAACTAACTCAACCTGAAATCTAACCTGAATTCGAACCTTGACTCTAACCTTTTACACTAACCTTGAACTCTAACCTTGACCTAAATCTTATGGCTTCGAAGGTGTGGATCAACAACCCCGAAATTGCTAGAAGATCGTACAGTAATTTGGGATCTCAACGCAAGCAAGAACCCACGGAAATATACGAGGACGTTTGAGAAAACGTGAAATTCAAGAATTCCACCAACTCAGAAATTTGGCACACATCTTCACGACTTCGTAGCAACACGAGGACCAGAAACTAACGAAGTCCGAAACTACGGGAGAGGAGCAAGGCGCTCCCGTCTTCCTGAGCCCTGACAACAAAAGAATCTAAAAACGTAATTATTTTACGAGGTTATAACTATCCGAAGTATGCTGCTTGTGCATCAGCCATGACTGATCAAATCTGATGCCTGATTTTTGTTTGGTTGGCTGCTCTCTGATCACACATCCCAAATGGAGCGGGAAAACAGGTGGCAGAACCTTTCGAGCCTAATTGAAAGGCTCGGAAGGAAAGCTAACACCAAGGTTTGGGCTTCGGGTGCCCAAACCACGGAGGCCACCCTGTTTGGGCATGACGAAGGAACGTACCTCCCACTTTGGCATGGTGTAAAGAAAATTCCTATTCCTTACTTCGCGTCCCTGCTCAGCGCGTACACCACTGTTTCCCGCCAACAGCACCCACAACAATCCGTTACCACTCACGACATTCGCCTCGACACTATTCCCGCCACTGTTCACGACGCGACCCAACCTCACGGTTCGGTTGGTAACCCGCGCTCCGGACCTCCGCCTCGACAATTCCCAACCTCGGCACTAGGCCCGTCGCGCACCCCATTTTTCCACACATTACCGTTACCACTGTAGTTTCGCTATATATTCTTCGCTCATTCATTCGCTCATTCGCTCATTGTACTCTTGCTTCGATAGTGCAATCCTCGCTCGCTCACTCAATTGCACTCATAACACTTGGTTATCATAGCCTACGATCTCTTCTCGAACTGCACCCACACCTTCGCTTCCCCACTATCTCGAATTTTGGGGGAGGTAGACGTCTCTCAGCGAACAAGCACCGCCGCTCGAAGTGCTCTCTCGTAAGCACACACGGCCACGACAGAGGCTCTCGCTGAGCTTGCCCGGCACTCCCGCCATGGCTGAAATTACTCTCGCGACACTGACACAGGCGCAGATTCGGCCCTCGAAATTGCCACACTCACGGCGGAACGCGACTCCGCTCGCCAGGAATCGACAGTGAATGCACCAGCACCAACAAATGCACCTGCACAATCAGAGGAGCCGATCGTCATCTCATCAGGCACACCGACACAGAACGACGGCGTGGGACAACGCTCAGGCGTAGCCAGTGATGGCGCCACTCACTCAATGCCTGGCATGGAGAGAAATAGGGCCGCACCAAGCCTGCGGGAGTCTCGCGAAGCCCGTCGGCACGTGGAATTTGCAGCGACAAGTGGCGAGCACGCCATCTCCCACCCAAGGGGTTTCAGCCCCCACTCTCCCACCCAGGGGGTTTCAGCCCCCACTCTCCCACCAAAGGGGTTTCAGCCCCCAATCTCCTACCCAAGGGGTTTCAACCCCCACTCTCCCGCCCAAGGGGTTTCATCCCCCACTCTCCCACCCAGGGGGTTTCAGCCCCCACTCTCCCACCAAAGGGGTTTCAGCCCCCAATCTCCCACCCAAGGGGTTTCAACCCCCACTCTCCCACCCAAGGGGTTTCATCCCCCACTCTCCCACCAAAGGGGTTTCAGCCCCCAATCTCCCACCCAAGGGGTTTCAACCCCCACTCTCCCACCCAAGGGGTTTCATCCCCCACTCTCCCACCCAGGGGGTTTCAGCCCCCACTCTCCCACCAAAGGGGTTTCAACCCCCATTCTCCCACCCAAGGGGTTTCAGCCCCCACTCTCCCACCCAAGGGGTTTCAACCCCCACTCTCCCACCCAGGGGGTTTCAGCCCCCACTCTCCCACGCAGGGGGTTTCAGCCCCCACTCTCCCACCCAAGGGTTTCAAAACCCAAGGGGTTTCATCCCCCACTCTCCCACCCAAGGGGTTTCAACCCCCACTCTCCCACCCAAGGGGTTTCAACCCCCACTCTCCCACCCAAGGGGTTTCATCCCCCACTCTCCCACCCAGGAGGTTTCAGCCCCCACTCTCCCACCCAAGGGGTTTGAGCCCCCAATCTCCCACCCAAGGGGTTTCAACCCCCACTCTCCCACCCAAGGGGTTTCAGCCCCCACTCTCCCACCCAGGGGGTTTCAGCCCCCACTCTCCCACCAAAGGGGTTTCAGCCCCCAATCTCCCACCCAAGGGGTTTCAACCCCCATTCTCCCACCCACGGGGTTTCAGCCCCCACTCTCCCACCCAAGGGGTTTCATCCCCCACTCTCCCACCCAGGGGGTTTCAGCCCCCACTCTCCCAACAAAGGGGTTTCAGCCCCCATTCTCCCACCCAAGGGTTTCAACCCCCACTCTCCCACCCAAGGGGTTTCAGCCCCCACTCTCCCACCCAGGGGGTTTCAGCCCCCACTCTCCCACCAAAGGGGTTTCAGCCCCCAATCTCCCACCCAAGGGGTTTCAACCCCCACTCTCCCACCCAAGGGGTTTCAACCCCCACTCTCCCACCCAGGGGGTTTCAGCCCCCACTCTCCCACCCAAGGGGTTTCAACCCCCACTCTCCCACCCAAAAGGTTTCAACCCCCATTCTCCCACCCAAGGGGTTTCAACCCCCATTCTCCCACCCAAGGGGTTTCAGCCCCCACTCTCCCACCCAAGGGGTTTCAACCCCCACTCTCCCACCCAGGGGGTTTCAGCCCCCACTCTCCCACCCAGGGGGTTTCAGCCCCCACTCTCCCACCCAAGGGTTTCAAAGCCCAAGGGTTTCAAACCCCACTCTCCCTCCCAAGGGGTTTCATCCCCCACTCTCCCACCCAAGGGGTTTCAACCCCCACTCTCCCACCCAAGGGGTTTCATCCCCCACTCTCCCACCCAGGAGGTTTCAGCCCCCACTCTCCCACCAAAGGGGTTTCAGCCCCCAATCTCCCACCCAAGGGGTTTCAACCCCCACTCTCCCACCCAAGGGGTTTCAGCCCCCACTCTCCCACCCAGGGGGTTTCAGCTCCCACTCTCCCACCAAAGGGGTTTCAGCCCCCAATCTCCCACCCAAGGGGTTTCAACCCCCACTCTCCCACCCAAGGGGTTTCAGCCCCCACTCTCCCACCCAGGGGGTTTCAGCCCCCACTCTCCCACCAAAGGGGTTTCAACCCCCATTCTCCCACCCAGGGGGTTTCAGCCCCCACTCTCCCACCCAAGGGGTTTCAACCCCCACTCTCCCACCCAAGGGGTTTCATCCCCCACTATCCCACCAAAGGGGTTTCAGCCCCCACTCTCCCACCCAGGGGGTTTCAGCCCCCACTCTCCCACCAAAGGGGTTTCAACCCCCATTCTCCCACCCAGGGGGTTTCAGCCCCCACTCTCCCACCCAAGGGGCTTCATCCCCCACTCTCCCACCCAGGAGGTTTCAGCCCCCACTCTCCCACCCAGGGGGTTTCAGCCCCCACTCTACCACCCAA